AAATCATGTAAATTAATCTTTACAGTCTCTTTTTGATTATTTACATGTTAATTACATGTTATTTACATACTCTGTAAATTTTCAACTTTTCCAGTGATAGTGGCCAAAATGGCGGACGTTCATGAAGTCATTTCCGTTGTCGTAATCTAGTCAAAACGTAAGTATAATTACAAAAACCAACATTTTTACCTATAACGCATCATATTCTCTCATCAAAAAGACTTGTTTATATTTTCCATTCTCTTTCTTTCTTTCTTTCTTTCTTTTTTTTTTTTCTTTTCTTAGCCTTCCTTTTTCCTTTAAAGTTTTTTTCGTGGCAAATTTGATTTTAACAGAAATATTCGTTTCTCGGAATTTAAATAAAAAAGTGGACATGAATGACAGGTTGCAATTACTCTGTCCTTCAATGATTCTGTCTTAATTTTTCCATCAACTTTTAATAAGTAATAGTAATTGGACAGAGTGGAGTACAATTTAGGGAGTAATCACGCGAGTGATTTCAAAATCGGACAAGCGCGAGACGCGAGGCCGATTTGAAATTACGAGCACGATTACTCCCTGAATTGTACTCCACTTAATTCCGGAAGTAAAAATGTCTTTAGAGAACTTATATTGAGTGAAAACGTCTGTAACGCTTTTCAAACGTTTTGAAAACTGTAGGAAACAGCGCGAAGGAAACCATTAAAGCGCGCATAATTGACGTGCGAATCACGTGGGTATCCAATTACAGGTGTTCAATTACGAAAAGTTCAAATTGGATACCTGTATTTGGACACCCACGCGATCGCGCGCCGATTACGTGACAAATAACCGCGCGGAGAACCAATCACGATCGAGAATTTTGTTATAGATACGATTATAATAATAATAGTAATAATAATAATAATAATAATAATAATAATAATAACAATAACAATAATAATAATAATTCTAGCGTGCTTATCTTGGCCATACGCGAGATTCTTGATAAACTGAAAAGAAATGGCACTGCTAAGCAAAATTATCGATTTTGATATACTTATTTAAGGCCAAGATAAGGCATATTTTGCTTTGCGAAATAGGGGATAAGTTCCGTGGCTTTAGAATACAGCTACTAAATACATAATTTATTTCAACAAAATACATTTTGCTTCGCAGATTGACGCTCTAACCTTTAATAAATAATTTATCCAATTTCTCATTTCCGAGTAAAACTTAAAAACAGTCCGTCATCTTCAAACAGCTGGCAGATTCAGTGAAATACCTCGGAAAATGTTCGCAGAGCCGAACGTCAAAACTGGAGAGTTATTGGGTACCTTTAGAATTAAAAGTTTTATGCTAATGATAATTTGAATTCAACTATTACGAAAATTTGACAAGCTCGGAGTGAACCCAGATTGCGTAGCGAAAAGTGCGTATGATCCAATTTCTGTGCCTATTTATAAGTGGTAAACTCAAGCCAAGGGAAATTTATCTCAAAAAGAAGCAAAAGAACAGTACATTCCTCAAAGCTAAACAAAAGAAAAAAATGGGCAAAACAACAGGAAAGATGCATTTAAAACTCCAGGGAACTCCAGAAAGCAAGCATTTCTTAGCTGCCGCTCCTGCGCGCTTTGCCAATAAACGCACGGTTTTACTTAGTGTAAAAAAGGTGTGCAAAATGGCGCAAAAACTAATAAAGCATTGCAAAAGACGTAGAGATGTTACTTACCTGGAGCATTGAAGGCAAATGTAAACGCAATCAAAACGATCCAAATCACTCTCATGTCATTTTCGAAGGTAAATCAACGCTGCAAAAATACTGCGAAAATTTCCGAATGAAAACTGAGCTTTAACGTGACGTAATAAAGGTTAATAGTTAAAACTGACGATTAACTACTGATAATAAGCAATTAATGACGTTCGCGCTAATTGTTTCTGCGCATCCTCACCACGCACGCAAATTTACACGCCACGTCACGTCATACATCGATGCGCGCGCTAAGTAATAAAAGAACAGTGATAGGGCAGATGGCCATTGCTATAGCTTTGCCTAGATTTAACGATCTTGGACGTTCGGTGACCCCTATTTATCTTTTGATGGATCATTTCCTCTACCGATTTCTACGTTTAGCGAAAAAATGAAGAAAATCTATCGATTAGAATTTTGAATTTTTTGCAAAATGCATTATTGAATTCCGTGCTTTTTAGCTCTTCGTTTATCTGTGCGGCGGTTTCAAATGCCTCTTGAAGGGTTAAGTTTGTGAAAACGTGTGTTGGCAACATTTTAAATTATTTACGCAACACACCCACCTCTACAAAATATGACTTAGATCGTTTGCCTCCGGTGACTCACCTTCGATATTTTTAATTATAAACCCCTGTAGACCATGTTGAATTACGTGCGCCAAGTTTTCAAAATCAAGGTAGTTTTCCACATGCTTTATCTCTGAAACGAGGACAGTGACCACCAATTTGATGCATTTTAAGCATAGGAGACATTGCAGACAAACTCTTTTATTTGGGTTTTGCAGTTCAAGACTAATCCAGTGCTATTTTCAAGGGTTGGCTGTTGAACAAAACTTTGTTATTCGGCTTGTTAACTTTGTTATTCGGCTTGCTACAGTCTGCGCTACACAATGAACGGTTACCATTTGTACCCAAATTTAGACTAAGTATTGTGTTCAGCAGATACCGTGTGATTGTTCTATAGAAATTTTGTATTTAACATCGCTACACTTGGATAATTTTAACATGTTTTCTTCTTATGTGGAACTAAAATGTTTCAGCCGATAAATGTGAGTCCCTTTCAAATATAATCCGGCCATGTTTAAAAAAAGGCATAAATCAAAACCAATATGCACACTGGAAAATAAACTCACCGAAAAGCTTATTTTGAATAACTATGATTATATAAGCATAGGACTTGTTATCGAAATATTGATCAATAAGATAAATGATGAGTAAACACCCTGGATGTCAGTATTTCAATGTAAGTTTATTGACTTTCTGAAGTTTGTTTTTGTTTTTGTTTTTGTTTTTGTTTTTGTTTTTGTTTTGTTTTGTTTTGTTTTGTTTTTTTAAATCAAAAACGAATCGCTTGAACTTTAAAAAAATTAAACCAACACCCATTCCCTTAAAATCATGTTAAACCGGGTTAAAAACACAGGCTTCAAAAAAGACGGATCATGCAAGTTTACATGAAACGAGCAAACACGTCACAGCAAGATGTTCCATCGTTGTCGCTTTCACTGCGATTCACTAAATCTTCACCATACCACAAGCGTAGCACTTGTCCTGAGGTAACGGTCAGGGGACTGGAGAACACAGACAGAACGAGCTCAGGAGACAGCGAGTTATATCCGGGAATCTTGGACCACTTAGTGCTATGCGTGATGAATTGACTCAGAGGCAAAAGAACGCCATTAGTAGAAGTTGTTATGGCAACATTGACATGATCACTCAAGCTGCTATGTGCACCACAGCCCCAGTAAGACCAGTGGTAGACTTTGTTCTTGTCGCACGTGACGTAACCAAGCAGATGAACAAGTTTAACTGCCAACAAGCGGCCACCGGCTGGAACAGAGAACTTGCCAAACTGGTCGCCTTTCGCGCCAAAACACACCGTGGCTGTGTTAAGCTTGATCCAGGGGTCTATAAAATAGTTACTCAATGTGTTACGGACTTAGACATGAATTCCTTCGCGAAATTTTAATTTTCAATTGGGCCTGTTTTCAAAATTTGGTTCAATGAAAATTTTATTCACAATGCACTTCACGATGCTCCAGTCTGATGGGCCGCAGACTGGAGCATCGTGCTATTTTTATTTGTAACTTACTCAATAACAATTTCTGCCATGCGGTACCAATCTCATTTGATAGCAATTTTCACAGTTATAATACCAGGTCTAGAAACAACATCTGCAAATATACAGCCAATAGAACCTGGCGTCACTGGTCTTCAATTAACTTCTGTTCAGAAATATGGAATAGATTAGACATTTCATTAAGGGATGTAGAGTCGCTGACTTCATTTAAACGTGGCTTGTCTAAAGCCGTTTTATGATCGTTTTTAATTAGTTTTCTTCTAACTTTTGTGTATGTATTCTTAGATTTTTTAATTCATATCTCTTTTTTTATATTTTATACTTCTCAATTTGTTCTTATATTTATCTAGGTAATGTTTTTGAGGACCCTTCTGTAAACCACTCTACTGTGATGTTGATATCCCATTAAAGATTACTACTACTACCGTGGCTACGACGATGACGACGACGGCTAAGTGTCCCAATATAATAAAAATTGTTTATAAATGACAATTTAAAATATTTAGTTGAGCGAGAAATTAAACTGAAAAGCAATTAAAATCACGAAATAAGGAATCGTCAAAGAAAATCACGACGGCCTGTTTTTTTTTTTTGTTGTTGTTTTGTTTTTTTATTATTACTTCTTTTCTTTCTAATCCACGACATACACCGGAGCAACAAAGTTGAAACAGAGCAACAAAGTTGATTTCGTCGAGGTTTGATGATTCATATTAACTGCAACGAGTCGTTGTCTCTCAGATTGCCGCCGCCTAAATTAAAAAATCCGGCTTTTGGACCATTATCTGTTTAGCTTAGTTTGATTCTATTGTTGTTTCAACGCTTTCCCAAGTGTCCCGACTTCCCTGCCAAAGTAACTCTTACGGATATAGCACTATGGATAAAGGATAAATTTGTCCAATTGAATAAATGATAATAATAAAAAAAATTATAAAAACACCAACACAGATCACAAATAAATTAACCAACAAATCGCTCCTTTACTTTGGCTTCATTCTTGTCCAATCGTTCTTTCAGCATTTCCACTTCTTTCCTCAGCGAAGAGACCTCTGCATCGTCCCTTCCCGAGTTACAAACCTGGTGCATTACAATCTTGCCATCATCCACCGGTACGGGTTTCTTCGTATCGGTCTGAGTGGTTTTCGCAGCAAGCGTGCCGAGGAAACAACTGGCCAGGAGTAAGAGGGAGCTTGACTTCATGTCGAGTGAAAAAAAGGTCGTTTAGTATTCAGGCACTAAAAGTCAGCGCACCGCTGTCAACGCTGATAGGGAATGTTTTGTTCGCAAACTTTTACGCGACGTTTACCCAAGTATTTGATCGTGTATAAACAGGAACTGTTTATTTTTTGGACATTTGTGAACTGAGCCCGTGACGGTCATGGATCTATTGTAAAACACGTGAAGGTTGGGTGCATGATGGCTTCGTGACGGACCCGTGACGTCCCGAGTTTCCTGTACGGTATTGGGAAGTTTTGCAAAACAAATTCTGAGAACTGTTAAATTTATTTCCGAAATAATATCGTTTAGCTGGAAACTCCGTAAGTTGAAGGAGCATAATCAAATGCAAAGGAAATTTCCGGTAACAAAATTCTTGGAGCTTCACCAGTTTGTCTTTCTTTTCAAAATTCTGAAAATTGCATTTCCATTGGCACCTGGAATTTCAATACGAAAGTAAAACCAGAAAATTTTTGGACGAAAGGAGAGTGCTAGAAGATTAGCACAGGAAGACTGGAGAATTCGCAATGTAAACATATGAAGTTTAAGCATTTAAACTGTGGTTAATGAGCTCCAAAGTCTTCATCATAGTTGTCATCTAAGGTTGTCACCAATTCTGTTACCTTCCCCCTATTAGCCATTGTGCAATAGCCTTAGGTCAATATCCAAAGTAACGCAATCGTTTTACCATATGGGAAATCATACGACAAAGCTCCCAGTGATTTTCCACCATGCTCTCATGTGATTTCAGTGTGCTATACCCCTCCCAACTCCTTCAATCCCCAGCTAGTAAAATCCCATTGTTTTCCGACCCTGTCCCAATTGTGAGCTAGTATTCCAGCTGGGCCGTTTTCCGCTTTCCCCTCCGTCCCTCCCTGTATTGGTAGCGGGCACGGAAGCGGCAAAAACTCGAAGTATCGCCTTACGCAGAGAGTTTTGTCTGCGGGTAGTGATGGCGTGAGTTCCTGTCACATAAAGTGTTTGTCGGTTGTCATCTCTCTTCCTCTGAGACATCTGAAATGTGTTGCTATCAGATCTGTGTCCAACCTATTTACCGCGTAAGGCCTTGTGGTTAAAAATAGGATTGCCATGGCGCCAATGAAAGCTTTCGCGCTCTTCACTCGCGTTATCAACGACGATGCATGTATTGTACTTGGCACCAGGCAAATACTGGTAAGTCCTAAGTAGCATGCAGTATTTTTAGAGAAAGCCACGGTCATTTCTTCAAGAAAAATTCAGTCTTGTTGAGTTTCCCCTATGAATTTAGAACTGAAGAAGATCTGAAGAAAATCACTTCGGCTGGCCGATGGAGACAGTTATGACGGTAAAACCTACTTTGAATAAATACTTCGACATTGCAGCTTCGTCACTTGGTTTGCTGGCTGTTTTTGTTTCGCCAACAGCTAGAAAAGAACCCACCGTCGCGCGCAAAATTGTGCATTTGCACGTTGAAAATTATGCGATGACGTTTGCAAATGCCTTGTCCAGTGAACACGCCAACACAGGTGGATAACAAAAAGGTCAACGATTATGGATCGTAATGGCATTGCCAGCAAGTGGAACGAGAGATCGCGTTTGCTCCGAGGTCTTGCCAAATCTGCAAGCTAGGTAGCTTAATGTTTTGTTCATCAGAACTGGTGGGTGACCCAACTCAAACAGTTTGATGTAACGCGAGAGAAATAATCAGGCGGCTTAATGTTTTGTTCATCAGAAGTGGTCCACTTCATACAGTTCGATGTAACATAGCCTGAATTGTCATGTAATTATAACGCGGCGTTACCGGTAATCATTTGTTAACGGATCAGGCATGCTCCAATAGTGAGCAACTGGATCTAGGGAAAAGTTTTCAAGTTACCGTATTTACTCGAATAAGCGCCGCGGCGCTTATTTATTTTTTCGTGTCTCCGGTGCGGCGCTTATTTAAAAGGCTCATACCACAAAGACAAAACTACTTCATGAGTGTTTTTCATGGTTAACGGCTTGAAGCTAACCTAACTTTTGACTTTCATAAAAGCCTCATGAATACTTTTCTGCAGTTAGGTTATTAATTCAATTTTTAACAATGTAACAATGTGTATAGAGGGCCACAAGTTCATTAGTTTTTTAACTATTAAGTGCTACCCTCTTTAAATAAAGTTTGATTGATTGATTGCAGACTTAGCCCTTCGTTTATACATATGAAGTCGCCTTTTCTCCAATCCTTTCGCAATTCTGTTGCTTCAATGTTTCGTCGGGCATGTTTTAAAAACACCAAATCATCCACTTTGAACTGTTTTGAGTCTTAATGGTACCGTCCATCTCGTGTGTAGATAAAGTAGTACTTACAAATGAATTTATCATCATTATCGTCCGTCACACAAGAAGCCCAAACGAATAAAGAAACTATTGTTTTTGCGTGAAACAAGAACACCCGTCGATTACATTTTGATAACGTTGGCCCTTGTATGTCTTGTAGTTCTCTCTTGTCATATTTATTCTGCTTCATCTAGTGTCCTTCAGATCTAATGAAATTTATATGACAGTAAAACAGATTACAACACCTTGCCCGGCTCACCTGGGGTTAGGTATGTTCGGAATGCTAGGAAACTTTCCTAGCATTTCTTTGTGGTGCTTCCAGTTTTCGCCGCTTGCGTCCCCGCCTACGGTGAGTTGTAATTACCTTTCGTGAGAAAGTGGCTTTCGCCTGCTGAACCTTATCGGTTTATTCACCGCCACGTTCTATTTCTTATATTGTGTGTAAACCATAGCTGCTTAGTCAATAAAGGTTTTTGGTGGCAGGGAAGTGCAACCTAGGCTGCATCTGACCTATTGTCCTCCAAAAAGGGCATCCCTCTTCTGGTCCATCCTATGTTACCCCCTAACATACGTTCCCCTAGAGACGCTGTTACTCTAAGGGAGAAGGCTCTGTCTTCCTTGCCACCCATGTTTTGACAGTACAATCAGTATTTTTGTTTCTGTTTCTTGCATCTACCCAGCAGAGGGGTGGAGGGGGAGGCAGAGAGTTGCAGTGTTGTTACCCATATAAATTTCCTTCTAGTGTGGCCAAGGAGCCAAATTATCCTCGCTGGTACTGTTACATCTGCCCCTCGCCCTGTATGGGCGTGGGTTTAATATATTAAGTTACACAGCAGCAGGGTCTCATTAATGAACCCGTTGATAAAAATTGACAGTTGATAAATTCAGATTACATATCGTATTGTTCGACGTAATTCGAAAAGCCCGGTTCTTGTAGTAGCAGGCTTTCTCTACCTTTGTTTCTCGCGCTTTTTCTATAGCTATTCATTCCCCGTTTACGCTTGCAACGCAGGCTAGATGCGTTCTTATTATGTGTTTGTCCGTAGGCGGAAATTTATGCGATACTGGATAGAGCACAATCCACACTCAAAATCTTCATTTAAAAGCTCAAATTAAAGGCACTCCGCTGATCCTACAAAAATACAAAGGATAAGTTTCTCACTATCCAAAACCAAAGATGACAAAGATGGCGAACTGCAACCATTCATAAACCACCTAAGAGCCTAATTTACTAAAGTTTCCAGTGCATTTCGCTTCCACAGAGGGATAAATATATAAATATCTATTATTATTATTATTGTTATTATTATTATTATTATTATTATTAAATCGTGGGCGACATAAGTGGGATACTAGTTATCCAAATAAATTAGCTATGACTTACGACGTCATCGCTTAAACGTCATCGCTTAAAAATCATATTGTTTTTCGATGAGCTAGTCCAGTGTAACGATTTGAACACTCTACTTACGGAATTCGAATTTATTACCTCCTGCCAACGGGCCACCCTGCTGGACCCAAGTGACGGCCCAAAACCCCATCAAAACGCACAAGGGGCAACAAGAGCCAGCTCTGAGTGCCGTCAGTGGTTTACTTCTCGGGGTAAACATCCCGGGTTGGTTCTTCATCGGTGGATGTTCACTTATCTCGTCGTTAACTATGAACTTGCTGAACCATGTGTCCTAACTGAGGACTGTAATGGCATTTTCCATACCCAAGCACACAACACAAGAGCTCGGTCCCAGCGGCTGAATATAGATAAGTATTCTGAATATACGGTCTGAGTTGCCCTCGTCAGTGAGTGTTGTGTATTCGCAGGAGGGCTCCTGTACGTACTCAAAATTCCAGGGAAGCAATTATCGCCAAAACTTAGCCATACTTCATGAGGTTTCCCCTTTTCTTTACATTTAAGAAAATGCTGTTCCATTCATCACTGAAAGTTTTTCAGGAAATTCAAGCCGGAATGCCTGGTCGGATGAAAAGAGTTCACAAGAGCTCAACAAGAGCCAGCTCAGAGTGCGGTCAGCGGTTTACTTCTCGAGGTAAACATAAATCGTAAACATGGCGGTTGGTTCTTCATCGGATGTTCACTTATCTTGTCGTGAAAAAAACATCGCTGTTCTTTAGCAAGGAAAAAGGCAAAAAACCGACCTCATTACCTTCTATACACTAAATCGAGCTGTAGTTTGGGTGTCAGCGATGGCTAGTTCACGTGGAATTATCGAGCGAAGTTCGAGCACTCATCAAGCTATCGAAAGCGTCGTAAGCAACTTGTGAGTTAAACTCGTGCATTCAAAACTGACTTTGTTTCCTTTACTTGAAATATAATGCATGTCCAATGATTTCGTCGTTTGTTTCTGATCATTTTAGACATCTCTGTGGGACAAGAAAAAACGATGCTTCGTGATTACGGATCTTTCAAAATGGAGGAAAAACATGGAGACCATCGAAATACGGCAAGTTCACAAGACCATAAATATTTCACCAAGGAGATAGCGCAAGGTTTCTTGCCGTAGTGACATTTTTTAGTTTATCTTCTTTTAGGCTGTGTTGGTTTGACGAGAATAGGATGCCCTATTTTTTTTTTTTTTTTTTTTTCAAAATTACAGTTTGAATTTGATCCATTTTTGCGTGTCTCATCGAGCTGAACGATATGGGTGTCGTTTAAGTCTCGTTAAATGCCTGGCTCGAGCTCACTGGATATAAAAGTTGGTTTGACACATTATGAAGACATATACTTATAAATAACAGTGGTGTTTGTTTTGTGCAGAGATTTTTTGTTCTTGCTCATTTGATTTTAATCTAGGTGTTGACAATGGCCATCACGGGTCTCCACTCGGGTGAACCGAAAATTCCCTATTTAAAACACGAAAAATTTAACAGATCTTATCGGACGGATTGTGGTTTTAGTATAAGTACATGAATGTCTCACAACACACAAGAAATGCCGGACCATTCTTACAGAGACTGCCTCTTAAATTAAAGAAAAAAATAAATAAACAGTTCAACAGAGCTTACATTTCTTGTTTATACACGATCTAAAATCCAGGGTCAACATTGCGTAAAACTTAATTACCAACATAACAGTCAAATCATCACTGAGAGTCACCCAAAGGTGTGTTGTGTTTTACTGCCTTCCTTAATACCAAACGACGACCTTATTTTGTCGAGATGAAGTCAAGCTTTTTCTTACTCCTGGCCAGTTGTTTCCTCGGCAGAGTTGCTGCGAAAACCACTCAGACCGATACATACAAACAGGTCGATGATGGCAAGATTGTACTGCACCAGATATTTCACCCGTCGGGAACAGTCAATTGCAAAGAGGAAATCTCTTCGCTGAGGAAAGAAGTGGAAATGCTGAGAAAAGATCTGACCCATCTATTGGACAAGAATGAAACCCAAGGTAAAGGAGCGATTTGTTAGTTAATTTATACCTGATCTTTTCTGGTGTTTTCATAATTGTTTTTATTTATTCAATTGAATAAATTTATCCATTTATGCATAATGCTATCTGTAAGAGTTGCTTTGCTGGGGAAGTCGGGACAATTGGGAAAGCGTTGAAGCTACAATAGAATAAAGTTCAGCAAACAGATGCGACTTTATACTTGGTTTAACTGAATCAGCCACAATTGTTCAGGCGCGCGGCGATCTGAAAGTCATGGCTAATTACAGTGCTGAATCATTAAAACTCGACAGAACCATTGCGTTGCTCCCTTAAGATTTCGGTGTATAACGAGGATTAGGGAAAACTAAAAGAAAACCAGGAATTTATTATTTTCTTTGACAACTTCTAATTTCGTGTATTGAATTTTTTCAGTTGCTTTTGTCGATGATCGAAATAATGATTATCATTTACAAACAATATTTATTATAATAGGACACGTCAGCAACTGTATCTTTCACAGTTCAGTGCCTTGTGAATTAGATTTTAATTTAATCAAAATTTGAAAATTAAATAGACCCAATTGACAATTAAAGTTTTGTGAAGGAATGTAACACACTGAATGACTAATCTGTTTTTCAGACCCCTGGATCAAGCTTAACACAGCCCCGGTGTGTTTTGGTGCGAAAGGCAACCAGTTTGGCAAGTTCTCTGTTCCATCCGGTGGCCGCTTGCTGGCAATTAAACTTGTTCATATGTACGGTTACGTCAGGTGCACCACGGGCAACGTCCAATATTGGTCTTACTGGGGCTGCGGTACTGTACATGGAGGCGTGGGAGATCAAGTCAGTGTTGTGGTAACAACCTCTACTAATGGAGTTCTTTTGCCTGCGAGTCAGTTCATCACGGATAGTACACATAAGTGGTTTAGGATTCCCGGATATAATTCGCTGTCTCCTGAGCTCGTTCTGTCTGTGTTCTCCAGTCCCCCGACTGTTACCTCAGGACAAGTGCTACGCTTGTGGTATGGTGAAGATTTAGCGAGTGATGTCGGTGATCGTGACAACGATGGAACATCTTGTTGTGACGTGTTTGCTCGCCTCATGTGAAACTAGATGATCCGCCTCCTTTTCAGCCTGGCTTTGAAACCCGTTTTAACATATGATATTAAGGGAATGGTGCTGGGTTAATTTTTTGTAGGTTCCTGTGATTTGTTTTTAATTTGAAAAACAAACTTCAGAAACTCAGTAAACTTGCATTGAAATGCCGTGAACATCCGGTGTGTTAGTATCTTAGTTATCTTGTTCATTAAAATCTACTACCTTCTACACATGTTCTAAATTTGGCTCCAAAGGGTAATCATTCTTTAGGGGCGGGTCCAGGATTTTTCCAGGGGAGGAGGGAGGGAGGTTGGGGTTGCAGAATCAATGGGGGGAAGTTCCCAAAATGTTGCATTTTAAGAATTGGAAACTAATTGAAAACCGTTTCGTCAGAAATACTAGCGATGCCATAAACTTAGAAATTACAATGAGGTATCTGTTCAGAGAGTTTGCCCTTATTTCTGCGTAATAATCAAAATCTTTTTCATTGTTTTCTACGTTTTCCCTTCTCCAAAAGGGGTTGGCTTGCCAACTGATCCACCCTCCCTAAATCCGCCCCTGATATTTCATGGTTTGGTGCAGACTGTGATGTGGACAGTGTCAACTTTTGAATGCAGCTTTTTACACTCTATTCATTGCTAGTTCACTTCAAACTATAAAAAGTTAACCAGGAGCAACAAAGTTTTGTTCAACAGTCAACCCTTCAAAATAACAAAATAACATTGGCTTTTGGTCTTGAATTGCAAAGCCCAAATTTCTCTGTTTCTTATGCTCAAATTGGGATTTCCTTCAGCTTTCTTTGGTTGAATCTGCCGAAATTATCACAGTACAACGAATCAAACCAGATAAAAATTTTGAAATTTGCGTTTATTGAGTCTCGGTTAAAAAAACAATGTGGTCTTATTATTTTTTTTTTTTTCGAAAAAACAAAGAATTATAATTTCACTGCAAAATTGCTTGGATTTTTACGGAAAATCTGGAGGAAATCTGAAGGAAGGTTTTAAGTTTTACACCGCAACAAATGCGTAATCAAAATAAGAATTTGCTATGGTCAACCTAGACACAGTGCGAGGTGTAGTGGCTAGGATTATTGCCAGTTTCGACGGAAACTATACTCCATGCCCCCTTACCATTTCCCCGGGTTTTTTCCGACATTCTTACAGACTCCGTTATAATACTGGTCGTAGAGAAGTGAACACAATGACCCGCACTTCAGTATCTTGGTTATCGGCTATCAAAGGCAAAAGACACCCCACCGCTCCCTCCCATGTGAAAAGTCAGTCTCCCCAGTTTGTTGTTTTGGCTTTCTCTGCCCGGTTTTCAGGACAAAAATATCTTCGACACATTCTTATTTTCGTTAAAATAATCATTTATTTATAGAACACTTTTTCCATAGGACTGGAATGTGTTTATCATTTCTTTTTTCGTTTTCTTTTTTTTTAGCACTGTACATATTTACATTATGTGGACAAACATTTATTACAAAAAAAGAAAAGACTTGGTAAAAAGTTCAAAAACTCTTCGTTCAGAAATATTCTTGTCCACTGAACAATTACAACTGTCTTCACACATCAAGCCAGAGAGGCATTTAGCAAGAAAATCTGGAAAAAAAGAAAACATCGGACATTAAATAAACTTGATTAACTAATTAGGTCTTTTGCGAGTTCGCTCGTGACTTGTGTGACGTGACACGCCTAGCTCTAAATTCCGTTGTTTGAAGCCACCGAGGGAACTGGAAGAGAAAATATTGACATTCCCTCTGTTCTCCGTCCCCCTAAAGGGACGGCTAGTCTATCGCAGGTGACCTCCAGCACTGATCAGGTGTCCCTAGGAGTTCAAGAGTACCCCATTTTGTGTGGAGAACAGCACCGTGAGAGGTAAGCGTCTTGCTCAAGAATCCAACACCATGCTCGATTTAGAATCAAAGAAGCAAAATATTCATCACGAATAGAAATTAGATTATACCTGCCGTTTGACACGCCTCAGTCAAAATTTGCTGCTGAAAAAGTCGAAGGACGCGCTGCAGCTGGGCTAGCGAAAGAACTCTCTGAGTCTGAGTGGGATTCTTTGTTGGAAGAAGATTTTGATTTGAAGGAGAACAGCTTACTGTTGAAAAAAACACATCGGATATACAGCATAAATTAAACAAGGAACTGTTAGAACTACATGTTGTCAAGTAGCGTGGATTTCCGAGCTCCTTTTTTTAATTGTTTTTTTCTTTTTCGTTTTTGAAAGACGCTTAATAGCTGCTTAATGTTTGGGTATATTGCACCTAAAGAGGCTTTGCTTATGCTTTTTTGTTTGTTTGTTTGTTTGTTGGTTTTTGCATTAGGTTGTTTAGTTTAATTGTCAACCCATTAAGAAAGGTCAACAGTTGGTATTTAAAAACTCACGTCAGTTTTGCTTTCTTTGTTTGACGCTTAACTACTTTAGCTCTATATTTTATCGACAACGGGGTTTGATAACATCTTTGCTGTAAAAGACAGGTATTCTGATGAAACAAGGGAATAGGTACTTACCTGGGTAGTTTAAAAAACTTCCCCCGTCGAGCTCTCTTGATGTGCTTTTCACAGTAATAGCAGAGACATCCACCTTCTGGATCAACAGGAATGCGAGGCAAATTATAAATATCTCGAATGGCCTGCAAGCCTTGCAACACGTCACGTGGCTTGATCCCTCGCGCTTTCTTCATCTTAATATCCTTCTGAAGTTCCTGTTTTCAAAAGTGTAAAAAAAAGAAAAAAATGTCAGTTGTTGTCGCTGTTAACGAATAACATTTATACCCATGCCCCCACCACACACCCCGCCAACCCCCACCCCGCTGCTACATAACTGTTTCAATCGCCTGCGACGGAACAAGGAACACTGAGGCTAGCAAGGGAAACAACTTGCACATTTTTCCCTAGTTTCCATCACGCCATATCAGACTTGTGTGGTCTTTCCATAAGCGAACAAATATTTTAGCTTGACTGCACTGCCACGTGCGAAAATACGAACCTTGTTTCCAAAAGGCCTGTTATGCTACCGAAAGCGTAGATACTTTTAATTATTACCTTCCATGTTTTGTAATCCTTGTGGTTCAACACTCGTATCTTTGCGGAGTTGCTAGTTGAAGCACCCCTATCCAAAGACGTCATCGATTCGTCTTCCCGTCGTACCTCTCGCTTGGCCTTAGGACCCGCGGCATCTCTTGGATGAGCGCGGCCTAGTAAAATTATGTCCTTTGCAAAAGCGATTTCTTGAGCAAGGGTTTGCTTGGGTCGGCCTGGGTACTTAAGTGTGCGCTTGATCAGGTGGCGGCACATGGATGATCGTTTGTTGCGTTCTCTGTCCACATTCTCGTTCATAATCATTGACTGTAGAAGGAAAAAACAACATATAGATCTTACTGCGTTGAGCACCCTCAGTCTTCAGAAAAATCCCCACCCTCTTTCTTTCGACAAAGCAATGAAATGTAAAGTAGATAATGAAGTAATGAGAATGAGAGCAATCCATTTACAGATTTGTCATCAATTTGGTTAGCTCCGCGAGAGAGCCTGATATGAATCAAATCATGTGCTTTGATTGGCTCTCCGAACAAGCAAACAATGAACCGTGTTGTACGGTCGGGACTGCTCGTTCTGTCTCGCTAGAAATGGTCTGCCCATGCATAAAACTTGGCTAGTCAAGATGACTGAAAATGGTCTGGTTGTTGCTGTTTTTTTAAGTGTCTTTAGGAACCTTGACCGCGTCTCTGTCCTTACATACGCAAAAGAAGAAATTACTCTTGTGTTCAAGACCTCACTATAGGTCAAAAACCGATATATCGTTTTTATCAATCAGGTGTCGCGACACCACCTAATCGTTTCCCACTAAAAGTTTTACGTCTTCATCAACCCAGCCTTGAAAGACTCTAAAAAAGAAAATGTATGTCTGCCTTTCCATTCGTAACCCTCAATGACAATTTCATACTCTACACTTGTATGTCGCGTACCTTTGCGCGCAAAATGCTCTCAGCCAATGAGTGCTTTGTTTCCTTGGTTTGGTGTTTGATCACAAGCCTCTTTACTTTGTTTTTGTCCACAAGGTTTTTCTTTTCGCCCAGAATCCGTGAAATTGCCGCGTTCAAGTCACTTTTGAATCCACTTAAATCCTGCTCAGATATCAGATGTTTGATGAAACGTCGGTTCTCCAAAGCCTTTCTTCCGCCAGTCAGAACCTTTCCTGAAACGTACACGACACGTGTTTGCAGAAGTGGTCTACAAGCCATTGCCTAACGGAATATGCTTAGGAGTGGAATAATAACCTATCGACGGAGATTTCTCCCCTTCTCGCGTGCGATTTTTTCCCCCCAAATATACTGTAAAATGTTTACTGTTATTTCTACAAATATAAAGTAGCTAAAGTCTGCAGTTGTCCACCCGTCTGTTCGTCCGTCCGTTCGTCTGTCTGTCTGTCTGTCTGTATTGTTTTTTTTTTTTTTGGAAATCTATTCTGTCCAGACTGTTACCAACCAATTACGCCAATTTTTTTTTTCTTTTCTTCGTAGTTTGTAAGATTAGTGATCTCATTTAATCTAAATACAAGGCCTGGCGTTGATTAACTTTGTTCAACCTCTGATCTTTACCTTGCGGTAAGTCTGTTGATGCTGTTGGCGGTGGAATTGTTGGAAGAGTCAATAGCGGCGTTCCATCTGTGGACAAGAACAGACTGTTCGTTATATTATTAAATTAAAATCAGTTTTCAAAGCTTCCAACTTCTTTTAGTTTCCAAGTTCCAATTCCTATTTTTTTCATCAATGTTAATGATTCCTCTAAAATTTAAAGTATGGTCTGACATGTTAATTTAACCATCAGACGTACTGAGAGAGGGAGGGACGAAAACGATTAGGCCTCCACCACCTCACCCTTCGTTAATTAATTACTTCTTCACCAATTATTGTCCGGTAGTTGAGGTTAATTGCTTGAATGTCAAACACAAACGAAAAGTAAGTTAACATCCTGATCTAGCTAGTAGCAACTTACCTTGGTTGGACTTTTCATTGACAGCAGACGTCTCTTCATCGTCGTTATCACTTCCCGTAATATCGATGATAGCATCACTTGTTGTCGCATTTTTCATTTCTGCTTCTTGGCTCGTGTAACTCATTTCTCCAAAAGAGGATTCAGATTCAATGTCAGATATCACCGAAGATTCCTCGTCATCATAATCAGGCCCCATCGTTATCACCACTTCTTCCTTGCTTGATTCTTTGTCGGCATCTTTGACTGCACTCAGCACCTCGCTTTCTGATTTGTCTCTTGAGTTGTCAATTTCCTCGTCATCGTCCTCCATAGTTATCACGACTTCATTACGTGCAGCAACAGGTGTCTTACAGGACTCTGTTGAGGAACTGGTACCATCGCTTGCCATGAAGACGCTAGGTGTCGATTCATCGGAAACAGTAGGCAGTAAAGACAAGCTGGGCTTAGATGGGTGTGGCGAGAGTGAGGACGCAAGGGTTGTCTGTTCGGATGATGCAGATAGACCAGGCCTTGGTTGAGTTGTAAACGGAAGAGGACTGTGGACAGTGTTGTCTGTCAGGTCAAAAGCCGTAGCTGATGAACGGGTCTCGATCGCCAAATCAGAATCACCTATTTCCGTTTCGGATGCCAGTGAGATGCTTGACACAGATGTCAAGGGCGTTTCAGTTGATACATGTAAGTCAGACAAAGACGATGTTGTGAATGAAGAATCCAGGGATTTTGTCTCAGGAATCTCATTAACCGTCCAAACCTCTGTCTTAGGAGTGTCATCGAGTGTAGGAACGGCAATCAATGGAGTTGACCTTGGTGTGTCGGTCAGTGTCCATATTTTCTGTTCTTGTGTCGGATGATCAGGCGATTGAGATAAAGGGACTGATTGTGATCTTCTTGGAGACGTCGTTGGTGTTGCCACAGGACTAGCGCCCTTGTTACGTCTTGTGTTTGTCCGGTCAAATATGACTTCCTCCTCGCTCAGTTCTTCACTGAGGTAACCAGTTGAGGGGAAATTTAATCCCATCTCACGTTTATAACGTCGTCGCCATCGTTTCTTACAAATTCCCCTGCAAAGGAAATATATACATTTCGAAATGGAGAAATGTTTGATAACTATAATACCGTTGTATAAAATGTACACGAGTTTTAAAACAGTAATTTTCTTCTGAGAAACTGGCTAATTCAAAATACAACTTCCAATATTTAAAATTGCCAAAGTCTAATGCCACTTACATGTATATGTGTGCATGATGCATTTAATCTGGGTGGTGTAAATAAGGGGTATAGCTTAAAAGTGAGAATAAGTGGCATCTTTTATCTTGTGAATAGCTCCAATTTTGTAATATTTATGACATGGATACGTGGGGTATACTTTCAATTAAATAATCTGACATAAAATTTTATTTACGTAACAATTATACTAGTTAGGGGTTATATAAAATAAATATATTATAAGTAAAACTGCGACTAGATACTGGGCAGATGTCATAACGCACTAATGTGTTATTATTAGAAACAAACTGGCATACACACGTGCATTTTTTGTAATTTCAAACAGTTAAACTAATCAATGGACACAAATATACGTTCTAAATGCGAATTGCGTCTCAATAACAGCTGCAATAATTTGTAACAATAAGTACTGAATGGATACAATAATTTAATTGCGCTTCAATATCAATGACAAGTTTAGAAAAAATAATCCTCCCCTAAGGCCCGGTTCATACGTCGCATTTCTGCCGTGTCGAATTCAATTCAACGAATTAGATTCGACAGAAATTCGACGTCTAAATCGGCTGCCGCATTTCTGCCGCACGTTCGACTGGTCTTGTCGCATTATCCGACAGAAATGCGACACTGATTCAGACGTCGAATTTCTGCCGTGTCGAATCTAATGCATACATTATGTTAATGTATTGAGCATGCGTAAATGTTTTCCCGCCAAAGAAAAAGAAGAAACTTGGCCATTCTCGACCCAGAGCAACCCGAACATATTGCAACACATACTGCTCCGTTGTCAGCCTTCTCCTTCTCGTTACGTTGGCGGACAATTTTTAGCAAAATTAAAGTCCTTCGTAGCTCAGTATTTTCGTCCGCCATATTGAATACTCTACGTTTAAAGCATTTTCCGCTGACCGACAAACCCGACAGTATAAATTCTGAATTAAGTGCGACACAAGTGCGACGTATGAATTCACAGTCGCATTTCTGCCGCACGTAATTGAATTGAATTCGACACGGCAGAAATGCGACGTATGAACTGGGCCTAATTTACTTGGATACGTTTGGGTATGCTCTCCATTAAAATGAGATCAAGTTTTATTTAGTAGTAAATGCATTATACCGATAGTGAAGCTACCAAAAAAGAGTATTTCAATTACTTTTTACGGTTGTTTAAGCTTTTGGTATGTACAGTAAAATGTTATGGTGAATTAATCCATTGTATGCTCATAATATTTACCCATTTGGAGGAAGGAGGCGCAAAATATCGTAATTTTAATTTCAAAGGAAAAACCGTCTGTCTCTTGACTCTTTCGGTCATTAAAATTTTCCATAAATTAATATAATTAAGTTTTAAAACAAACAGCTATTAGGTACAGGAACTAAAGCAAATTGATTTTGAATTTTTCCACTTAAAAGGTTTAAGAATATTAAGGATCCTAAATTAAAATTCATCCGTTCAGCCGTAGATCAAGTAACTTATTCTCCCTACTGACTAACATAGATTGGTTTTAGATTGTCTGAGAATTTAGCAGTGCGTCGAGACCATATGACGGGTTGGTTATTTAGTCCAATATTGTCAATAGTCGTCATGAGAACATATTTAACGTTACACTGGGTTTTGGAAATTAAAGAACACTAAAATCGAAAACTTACCAAAGTCGACGAGGAACACCAGTGAAAATAAACAATAACATCAAAATCCCTGCCAAGATTCCTGCAATAGTGGCTGCCGGTGAAGTCGACTCTACTGGCTCTTCATCCTCCGATTGTAATTTCTTCTTCTTGATTTTGAAATGTTTTCCTTTTTTACTGTCATCTAACTTGACGGGATCGTAAGCCGCTTTCCAACGAAGCCCTGAAGATGCCTTCACTCCAGGATAAACAGCCATCTTGTGTTGTGGCATTGCTGATGTGCCGGCATGTCGTGTTGACCCTTTGTGTCCATCCACCTTTGGTTCGCCATCTGGTGAAGAACTGTCCTGCTTATCATTACTGCGGGAAGATTTCTGGTCATCCTGTTCAGTAGTGTTGCCTTCTTTTGAAAGCAAATCTGATTCTGCATCAGCCGCATCGACTGACGGAATAACCGTTTCTTCAGTTGGTAAAATCGTCAACTTGAAATGCGCTGTGATTTTCGTCTTGTGTGGTAAACCCGTGATAGATGATGGTGGGGCTTTCTGGAACGCAAAAGCCTCCATGCTTGTGCTATCTTTCAAAACAGAAGCTGATGGAGGCATTCCAGTACCATGTGATGATTTTAAGACGTTGTGTTGTCTTGCCGAACGCCTCATGGCGAACCTAAGTTTTTGCATAGTTGAGACGTTTCTGATCTTGTTATTAGTAGTCCATTTAATGGACTTTTGGGCGTTCTTCAACGCCGGTAAAGCTCTACCGTCCAGTGAGCCGACTCGTTCAACATCAGATGAGAATGAATCCGTAGTCGTTGATATTTGGACGGGAAACTTGTGTTGTTGGGAGCGAAGCGGTACATCAGTAGATCTCGCTGAGGGATTCTTGAATCCGATCACTTCGCTTGAAGACTCTACAAAAAGATGGTTCGGTTCTTCTGCAATTTTAAGAACAGGGATGCAAGTTTAATATGGAAGTCAAAAGACGAATGCAAAAGCTTTAAAGTAAAAAAAAGAAAAGAGAGAGAGAAAAAAAAAAAAAAGATCTGGAGAGATATTGAAATAAATGGCCAAAAATTAAAATGCGGTCAAAATTATTTAATTAAGCTAGGCAGAAAAGCTCAAAAAGTGTTTTGGCAGCCCTCTGGCAGCGCTGGTTTAGAAGTGAGCATTTCTCAAACCGCGTACGTTTTTTGCAAGGAAAGTTCCGACATTAATCTTGGGGTAAAACTAATTAACCATGCAGAAGATTTTGAATGTTATTTACGTTGATAAAAAATTTATCTTAAGCTTAACTTAATGTGAAATATGATTACAAAAAAAGCAAGTAAGAATTATTTGTCCTGAGTTTTGCACGCGTACACTTCGTTCAACTGTAAGTGAGTGCAAGTGATTATTCCAAGTTTCCCATAACTTTCATAATCATTTTTATCATTTCCATCGACGTGAATTTTCGACTCTTACCTCGGTGTTTCTGTGTGACAAAGAATAGTATCTTGCAGCCAACGTAAAGAGAAAGGCTTAACGTGCACTGCGGCCTGCCTTTCACCTCCGATTTCTCCAACCATACCCAAACCGGCGTAATTTGTCGATAAAAACGTGAATAATCCGTTGTCTTTTAGACTCAAAATGAGCTGAACGCTAATTTTCAACATCTGTCCGGCTATATGAAGAGTTTCATGCATGCAAACTTGATTTTTTCGTTAGGAAAACTTCAAGCCACGACTATCAAACTCAGAATCGTTATGTTGGAAACTTCGTCACTTTCAAAATAGTAAACCCACTCAGTGCGGAATTGATCGAGCGCCTAGCCAATCAGGAGTTAGCAACTTCGCGATTGACAAGAAAAGAAACCAAATCAAGATTGAAATGTTTTTTTTTTTTTTTTTTTTTNTTGCTACTGCTCTCGAAAGTTCTCAGGGGCAAAAATTTACTCTAATTGGAAATTAAATAGCCGACATTTCTTCAGCCTTCTTGACAAAATCGAACAAAAGCAAACGCGCGTAGCACAGGAAAGGGCAGCACTCCCTCTCAATCAGATTAACAAGAAAAACCACACCTTTCGTCTTCAAGGGCGAAATAAATTACGAGGGAGCTGGTATGGAAACAGAGGAGTTCTTTCCCTTGCCTGTTAACTTTTTTTTCGATTCCTATGACGGAGGGGCCTAAACTGTTCCCTTTTCAAAATTCGTCTCTGACCGGCATTTAGATTTCTAATTCGTGTATTTTTCCGCTCAAAGACGTGTTTTCTGATAAATCGTAAAAGCGAATTTAGAAGGTAGGTTCCTCTTACCTTTGCAGAGTGAGCTTGTTACCAGGAAACAAAAAAAGATCAATATAAATACTTTTCTCTTGTCCATTTTGAGAACTGTGTTATAACGCAGCTAGAACCAAATGCATTCCCGAAGGAGATTGAAACATTTGACTTCACAAACGCACACTTTATGACGTCAAGAACGCGCGCGCCTTAACGCCCGCGCCAACGGTAACGCAAGTAACAGTAACGCAAGTTTATAATTATAGCAGACCAAGTGCAAGATACTACAGTTTCTTTTTTTCCAATTCGAAAATTCTAAACTCATTTTGTTGATAATTCTTGCTATTAATTTAGGCTTCGTTGACTCCTGATGAGCGTTTTAATTGTAGCTTATGGACAGGGGCGGGGCAGAAGACTCCTGAAATTTTTGTACTGGATCATCCAACAAAAAGTGACGTCACATCCGGTTTAAACGGTGCCGCGCAGCTCGTTTCACAAAGCGCAGAAATGGCGTTTCGATTGGGGAAGATTTTCTTCTATTTGCAAACCATCAGGTCCGTGTCCTTCCATACTGAGGATAGAAATATCTTGAAG